GGCGATAAATTGGACGCCAGTTATGAATGCGTTGCCGATTGCGGCCGCTTTGTGGAGATCGGCAAATATGACCTCCAAATGAACAAACAGTTGGGAATGTTTTCATTCTTAAGAGACATTTCTTTCATCGGTGTTTCAGTCGATCAGAAACTTTATTTGAAGAGAGGATTCATCAGAAGGTTCTTCACTTGGATGCACGAGAATTGCAATAACGGAATGATTAAACCAATTAATCTAAATGTCTTCAAAGCTGAAGAGGCGGAGAAGGCGTTCAGATTCATGACAACCGGTAAACACATCGGAAAAATTGTGATCAGAATTCGTGATGAAGAGAGCAATCGGATTGCGAAAAGTGGTTTTACTTCCACTAAGAAACTAATGGTCACTCGAAAGACATATTTCAATCCAAACAAGACTTATATCATAACCGGAGGTTTGGGTGGATTCGGTCTGGAGTTCATTCATTGGATGATGTTTTTAGGCGCCCGAAGATTCGTCTTGACCTCAAGACATGGCGTCAGAACTGCTTATCAAAAGTTTATTCTCGAAAGATTGTCCTCTTTGGGAGTGAAACTAAAACAGTTTGACACAAAAGTTGTCGTTTCGACTCACGATTGCAATACAACTGAAGGAACAAAACAACTCTTAGCCGACGCCCAGGAATTGGGTCCAATTGGAGGGGTCTTTCATTTGGCTCTCGTTCTCAATGACTGTCTTCTTGAGAATCAAACGATTGATAAATTCCAGGAAACCATTGATTCAAAGACTAAAGCGTTTGAGAATTTGGATAAAATAAGTCGTGAATTGAGTATAGATTTGGACTATTTTGTTGTCTTCTCTTCTGTCGCTTGTGGTAAAGGAAACGCCGGGCAATCAAACTATGGTTTCGCGAACTCTGTTTGTGAACACATTTGTGAGTCCAGACGAAGAGACGGATTGCATGGTTTGGCCATTCAATGGGGACCTATCGGTGACGTCGGAGTATTGGCTGAGTCTGAGATCAACACCTCTTTGGCAGCAGTTGTTAAGCAAAGAGTTAACTCATGTCTAGAAGTGATGGATAAATTGCTTCAATCGGATAATTCTATTGTTTCGTGTTTGGTATGAATTATTACCTTTTTTTAGATTACATTTCATTTAACACATTTGTCAATATCTTTAGGTGAGGGCCAAGAGGTCAGTGTTGTCGGGAACGAAGGAGTCTAAGCTCGTGAACCAGGTTTGGGTTGCGCTGGGAATCGATCCCAAGACTACTCCCAATCACTTAACTCTGGGAGAGATAGGAATGGAGTCTATGTTTGCGGTGGAGTTACAGCAGGGGTTGGAGAGGGAGTACGACATCAAAGTAACGCTAAATGACATCAAAAACATCACAATAGGAATGATGAAAGACTTTGAAGTCGGAAAAGTAGATGAAATGAAGAGCTTTGCGGAAGAGATCAAGTCGTGTCGCGCGAAGTTATGTAAAGTGAAGTTCATTATACCGAGTGATGCCTCCATTAAACTCAATAACGTGACCACTGGTCGACCGCTTTACTTCCTGCCCCCTCTCGAGGGTATATTTGCTTCACTCGAAGGGTTGGCCGAAAAGATTGATCGGCCGGTCATTGGCCTCAATTGGACCAAAGAAATGGAAAAAATGGGTTCACTTAAAGAGATTACAAAATACTACACTCAACTCCTGAAAGCATTGGAGCCGAAGGGAGACTACGATATATTTGGCCACTTTTACGGTGCGCTCATTGCCATGAAATTATTGAAGAAGGCTCCGGTCGGTAGGGCTATCATAATCGACATGTTGTCCGAAATAGCACTCGACGACGACATGATTACAGACGACTATTTGGTTGAGATTATAATGTCTTTCATTAGCAAAGACTTACCGGCGGTAATGAAGGCGAAGATACGTCGCGACACAATGTCTAAACCGGACGTCCCCTCAAAGATGGAGAAAATAGCGTCAGAATTGAAAGAGTTTTGCGGCAAAAGTCTCGTGAGTCGAGACTTGGTGAGAGAGAGAGAGAGAGAGAGAGAGAGAGATTAAATGTGTTTGCGTCAATAGCATTATTTTGCAAACATTATTAAAAATGGGATAAAAAATATAATAATCATGCATTTAATAACCAAATCATTGGTAATACATATTTGCTAAATAAAAATACAATTAGTTAAGAGTTAAGGGCATTGTTAGGGCACTTTTAGGACATCTTATGATTTACTAACGATACAATAATTAGCAATACATATCATAATCATAAGTATTGTAATTGGGTTTTGAAACAAAACAACATTTCAATTACAATAACAGGGAAAATACAAATATACATTTATTTTAAATTGATTAATAAGAAGTAATAACAATAAAATAGTGATTAAATACCAGAATATATGTTGCCTTTTGATGTCCTTCTGGTCTGTCTTTAAATGTAGTAATATTTAAATCATTAACTTTTTCGCAATAAATTTGCATATATTTCTTTAAAATATTGTATTTATCTTCAGATTATTATAAACCACAATATAATTCAGATATTTGTGTCTAAATAAGTAATAATTTCTCTTTTGTTATAACTTATAAGTAATTGAAAATTAATAAATCTTCAGTAAAACTCAATCACATTTAACCACAAAATTGAAAGCCTTCTTATGAGATGTAATCGCAAATCGAAAGCAAACTTAAATGTGAAATATATTTTGTTTTCTTATTTAAAAATTTTCACTAAAATTCATTGATTTATTTTGAAAAGAGCTATAAATGAAAATATTTTTGCTTTTTATAAATAAATTAACGAATAGTTTTCCAATTGATTGAATAATTGCAAAGTTTTTTGTTTCTGATTTTTAATTGTAGATAAGTTTACACGAGAATAGCTTTCTCGTGAAAATCAATTAAAAAATTTAAAAGCAATAAAAATACAGAAAGATAGAAAAAGTGTAATTATAATCGCAAAAATACAAACAAAAATGCAAATATCGTATTCATAGAGCCATTCATCCATTATATCGTATGGAAAATAAGGACTTCCAGTGATTGCCAAAGGGGTTATCACTAGTACTCTGGGCTCACTTTCTTCCTAATACAGTATAATATCTTAATTGTTTGACTCAAAACTATATGTCTATTATTTAAACAGTACTACAATTAAAGTATTTTTTATAATCAACAATTACTATAATTAATGATTTTGAAATTGTAAATAAATTATTCTTTTGTAAAATCCATTGAAATTTTACTTAAAATTCATATACAGTAACAGTATTTATCAATAAATAATTATGATGTTTGGTATTTCCTATGTTTACACCACCGGCTCTCACATCCAGAACCAACATCAATATCAACATTACATTATATAATATATCGTATTATTGCACACATAGACAAAACTAAAGTTAGCGTATAATACAAGTTTTAAGTGAATTCATAAATATATTAATAAAACTTTAAAACATTGGGAAAATAAAAAAATAATATAATTTATAGGTATTTCAAATGACATAGACTCTATGTATTAGTTAATGGCTAACATTTATTCCATATAATAATATTCATGAATAGTATTTAATTGAACATTAATTTAGGAATTTTTATTGTCAATGTTTTTAATACAGTATATTGATTATTAGTAATTTTGTCAATACAAAACTGTTGTGATTTGAATGTAACATAAAATTGATTGCATTTTTATTACAAATGCAATAATTTTGTAGCAAATGCTTAAATATTCAAAGGTTGTGATGTAATTGTTATGAAATATATTGTTAAAAACCAGCCATAAATACATAACAGGTGTAGTCCTTGACACGAGTGGACATAAAAATCTTTCTCTCACACTATTTGAAGGGATTTCCTATGAATTCTTGTAATTATTAAAATATGTTTTTTACAGATAAGAATATATACATGTACTTTACTGAAAATATATATATACTGTACTTCAAATGTGCATGTTGGGTTATAATAATAATAAATGTCAATTTATAAATAATTTGCTTTAGAATAGTGTAGGACAACGAATTCAAAATACTTGTTGGTAAAAAAGTATAGTATATGTTAAGTGCAAGGTTTTTCAACGGGCATTAACGGGCATTTGTATACACCAATAATTATAATCTTTTTACACTCCATTAGCCTTGTATTGGTATGAAGTCATACACTGTATGTTTAGAATATATTGACACAGATTTACATTTCTACCATAGGGGAATATTTTTTATAAAAGTTTAGTTAAAGTATTTTAATGAAATATTACTTCAAGATTTTTTAAAACATAATTTGTTTGTCCGAAAAAGCAAGTGATTGTATGGCTTTCATTAAAACAGCAATTTTTAGCACTATTAGCACTTATTTATACACTAATAAAATCTATGGTATATGATGTTGACTACCGGACTAAAAAAGTGTAAATAAAAAGGCCTTTTAAAAGAAATATGAAAATGAAATATAAAGTCAAATCTTAGTTAAAATATGTTTGTAAAGAACCCGTGAATGACATTAAATACTGTACTTTACGTTATAGACGTTATATAACTTATAGTAAATAACAAACACTTGTTTTGCAGTCATGTCTTGCGTGTGATGTCAATCCCGGACAGCATTTTGCTAAACATTTTGTTGAAAAATATTTGTTGTAATTTTAAAAATAACATCACGTAATGTAAAGTGAATTGTTTTTGTGTCTTAATTTGTTTATAATTTATTCCCAATAATTGGTGTTTATTTAAGAAAGTAATTTAAGGCTATAATTAATTTCAAAAACAAAAACTATTGACAAATTTCTTTAGAAATTTCCGAAAAAATGTATTTATTTTTTTGTGACAAAAAATAAAACTGAATGAAATTAAGTGTAAATGCGTTAATCATTAAATAATTTTACGCTTCAATTACTGACAAACCCTTGTTTACTATATATATTGTAAAAACCATTATTTATAAGACTTATTAATAGCGTTTAATGCGATTATAACTAACAAAAATAATAGGACTAAAAACTAGTTAAATAATGTTATTATAAAGAATTAGTCTCTGATTTATGAATGAGATAAATATTTTACGGAAAAGCAGTCAAAATCGTTGATTTTAATTAGATTTCAATTAATTATAAATTGGTTTTCAATAATTATCAAAATATTTAATGTATTTAATGAACCGTATTTTCGCAAAACAAATGATGCGATTTACAAAAAAAATCATTTAAATTCAATGTCAGCTCACAATTGGTTTGTTAATTAAATTTTAAAATTAACGATAAAATTATACATTAATTTCCATATTTTCGATGAATTTAATTATTAATTTCATTGTTAATCATTTTAACAGTCAATAATGATGGGTATTATTATTATCATATTGATTATTTATTAGTGATATGTTTACCATGCACTTTATTGACACATTCAATTGAATTGGTTACTTTCTTAGCGTTCATACGAGTAATTTCTTGTCATATTTTTAACATTGAAAAGAAGGCTTCAATTGTGAGAATTGAAATCAAATATTAATATTAATGAAACGGAAGAATAATTGGAAATTCCAATAATTATTTAATACAAACAATTGAATACAAGGATTATATTTATATACATTGTATAATCTATTGAGATTAAAACACTTTGTATATCATAATGTGTATGTTTTTAATTTAATATTTTTTATTCAATGATTCTGGAATTCATTAAATGACATATTTATATCATATTTTTAATATATTTCTTTCATAACAATATTGTTATTTAAAAATATCTTTGGTTTTCACTTCAAACTCAATGATAATTGTGGAAAAGTTCGTAAAATTTAAATATTAAATTCATTACTTTTAAAATTACTACTTTATATACCGTTTATCTTTAAGAGTTAATAAAATTTTTAAAAGCTATAAATACTGCTGTTTTATAATAAGCCTCAAAACATGACATCAATTAACTATTAAAACTATATGATAATTTTATTGTTCAAATCAATGGTTAATTTGGAAATAAAGTGGTAAATTATTGTTATTATTGAAATATTATATTATATTGATTTGTCAATTGATTGCTTTTATAATTTAAATAAAAATATAAACAAAAATAAACACAAAACAACAAAAAAGTGATTTCTAATGAATGTAAGGAAAAATATTGAAATATATTAAAGCATTTCTTATGAAAGGATGGGTTGAGTGCCTATCAGTAAATCTCATAACCTGTAATATAAATATGTCAATAAATTTCCCCACAATAATACCAATTACTTAATTTGCATTCCAATTAAAGTAATGATTTCAATATTTTAAAATTTAAATAATATATAATAATATATTTCATTTTTTAAAACTTAAGAGACGTCAAAGAAATATAAATTACACATGTTTTGAATTTGTTTTTTTAATTTATACTTGATTAATTGGTTCGCAATTAATAACGTTACTGTCACTATTGTGTACTATCATAAGTTGTAAGTATAATTATATGAAACACCAATATTCGTGTGATTATTTTTCACAAAATACAAATTTTTGTTTAAATATAATTTTTAATTAGAAAACCAAAAACATTACTAAATTTAACATAAGTTTGAATATGTAATTTGCAATAATATTATTGTAATTGGTTATCAATTTATAAGAACAAATGTTGTGTTTATGACATAGATTAATTACAACAAAATTAAATATCTCTTTATTACCAATTTACACTTTTTTAGTGTAATTAGTATAATTTTCAATTTAAATTATGTGTAAATTCACTCGAATTAAAAATAATTATTATTAAACATAAATTATATCTAAAATTATCAAAAAATGATTAATATTTTAATAACATATTCCGATAATATAATGCTTTAACATTATTAAAGTTAAATTAAATGTATTATAATGTGTTATTATTTAACATAAATCACATTAATAAGCGAATTAACTTAAATACAATTAATAATGGATAGGAATTATACATTATTTCCCAATCCGATCGTTTCGACCATAATTATCCTTTTTTGTACAAACCCTCGTGTGATTGACAATACTCTTTGTCCCAACAAAATAGCCATGTTTAAAATTAGAATAAATCTGTTATTAATGCATTAATTGTATGGGTATTATATTTAGATAACAAACATTAAGTATAGCTTTGCAAATATACGATTGTTTTGAATATTATTTTAACTTTCTATTACTGTGATTGAAATGATTCACTCATCAAAAACACTTGAATTGCATAATATTATGAAATAATGAAAGCAATACATCATTATTTGACAGCTTTTGCACAATATTATCAAAACATAATTTTAGAAATTCCCGAAAAAAAATTCTAAAAAATATTATTATTACTTGTGTTTAAATTAAGTGCAAATTCTGTAACATTATGTAATTTGACAAAAAATTGTTGTCTATTCTAACCTAAAATGACAAAACTTTTACTTTTATTATTATCTCCAATATTGCTATACCAGGAAAACTGAAAATTTATTCAAATAAATTTGAATTAAGTTCTATATTGTTTACAAGATGTGAATTATGATAATGTTTCATATAAGACTGTATTTTACTTAAAAATTAAATATAGTATATTAATCATTTAATCATACAGTATAATTATTTATAGCTTTTAAAGGGAATCCAACATTTTGCTATAATATGAGAAACACGTGTTTTTCATGTGATTTTTATAAATTAAAATTATCGGTACTTCTATATGAAAATTAAATATAGTTTTTAAAAAGCAATTTGAAAATCAAAATCATTAATAAATTTAATTTAATCGTTGATTATGTAATTTGCAATCATATAATTTCATTTACCTCTAATTTATGACAACATAAATGTTGCGATTATGGCATCAATTTAAATGAAATTAAATTCATTGATATTGGTTTATAACAGTCTATTTTACATATAATTACTATAATTATCAATTCAAATAATGTGTAAATTAACTCATTTTAAAATAAATTAATTTTTATCTCGTTATAACAGTTCAAAAAATAATTTTATTAATTAACAGTTCTTCTAAACTAATAATTTATACATAAGTCTTCACAATTAGATTATATCTTTGGTTATAACAATGTCTTTCATAGATTACAGTTAATATCCAGTATATGTCTGTCATTTATTTCTTGGATAGATATTGATTGATAGTCGCGGCCATCATATCAATGGTCTTCTGAGTCTCCATATCATCACTATTTGATTCAATTGTCTCAAAATTGAGTTTTCCCTCCAAACCCTTTCGTACAAAAACAAGTCAAATATTAAAACACAATTGTAATGCAGACAAAGAATCAAAATATCAAAATAAAATACCTGTTCGGGCAGAAAGTAGGCGTTCTTGATCTTATCGGTCATCTCATCATTCATGACAAAATCTCCCGTCAATTCAAAGGGTTTAATGATGAGTATCTTTCCATTGACTTTCATGTATTTCTCCGCAATACTGAACTTCATTTTCTTGTATTTGTTTCTCATATTCAATCGATAGGATGTGAAGAGTTTGGCTCTTCTGAACGAATTTATGAGAATCTCATCCAAGTCTCGACTCACGAGACTTTTGCCGCAAAACTCTTTCAATTCTGACGCTATTTTCTCCATCTTTGAGGGGACGTCCGGTTTAGACATTGTGTCGCGACGTATCTTCGCCTTCATTACCGCCGGCAAGTCTTTGCTAATGAAAGACATTATAATCTCAACCAAATAGTCGTCTGTTATCATGTCGTCGTCGAGTGCTATTTCGGACAACATGTCGATTATGATAGCCCTACCGACCGGAGCCTTCTTCAACAATTTCATGGCAATGAGCGCACCGTAAAAGTGGCCAAATATATCGTAGTCTCCCTTCGGCTCCAATGCCTTCAGGAGTTGAGTGTAGTATTTTGTAATTTCTTTAAGTGAACCCATTTTTTCCATTTCTTTGGTCCAATTGAGACCAATGACCGGCCGATCGATCTTTTCGGCCAACCCTTCGAGTGAAGCAAATATTCCCTCGAGAGGGGGCAGGAAGTAAAGCGGTCGACCAGTGGTCACGTTATTGAGTTTAATGGAGGCATCACTCGGTATAATGAACTTCACTTTACATAACTTCGTGCGACACGACTTGATCTCATCCGCAAAGCTCTTCATTTCATCTACTTTTCCGACTTCAAAGTCTTTCATCATTCCTATTGTGATGTTTTTGATATCATTTAGTGTTACTTTGATGTCGTACTCCCTCTCCAATCCCTGTTGCAGTTCCACCGCAAACATAGACTCCATTCCTATCTCTCCCAGAGTTAAGTGATTGGGAGTAGTCTTGGGATCGATTCCCAGCGCCACCCAAACCTGGTTCACGAGCTTAGACTCCTTCGTTCCCGACAACACTGACCTCTTGGCCCTCACCTAAAGATATTGACAAATGTGTTAATGAAATGTAATCCAAAGAAAAGTAATAATTCATACCAAACACGAAACAATTGAATTATCCGATTGAAGCAATTTATCCATCACTTCTAGACATGAGTTAACTCTTTGCTTAACAACTGCTGCCAAAGAGGTGTTGATCTCAGAATCAGCCAATACTCCGACGTCACCGATAGGTCCCCATTGTATGGCCAAACCATGTAATCCGTCTCTTCGTCTGGACTCACAAATGTGTTCACAAACAGAGTTCGCGAAACCATAGTTTGATTGCCCGGCGTTTCCTTTACCACAAGCGACAGAAGAAAAGACTACAAAATAGTCCAAATCTATACTCAATTCACGACTTATTTTATCCAAATTCTCAAATGCTTTAGTCTTTGAATCAATAGTTTCCTGGAATTTATCGTACGTTTGATTCTCAAGAAGACAGTCATTGAGAACGAGAGCCAAATGAAAGACTCCTCCGATTGGACCCAATTTCTGTGCTTCGGCTAAGAGTTGTTTCGTTCCGTCAGTTGTATTGCAATCGTGAGTCGAAACGACAACTTTTGTGTCAAACTGTTTTAGTTTCACTCCCAAAGAGGACAATCTCTCGAGAATAAACTTTTGATAATCAGTTCTGACTCCATGTCTTGAGGTCAAGACGAATCTTCGGGCGCCCAAAAACATCATCCAATGAATGAACTCCAGACCAAATCCACCCAAACCTCCGGTTATGATATAAGTCTTGTTTGGATTGAAATATGTCTTTCGAGTGACCATTAGTTTCTTAGTAGGAGTGAAGCCACTTTTCGCAATCCGATTGCTCTCTTCGTCACGAATTCTGATCACAATCTTTCCGATGTGTTTACCGGTTGTCATGAATCTGAACGCCTTCTCCGCCTCTTCGGCTTTAAAAACATTTAGATTAATTGGTTTAATCATTCCGTTATTGCAATTGTCGTGCATCCAAATGAAGAACCTTCTGATAAATCCTCTCTTCAAATAAAGTTTCTGATCGACTGATACGCCGATGAAAGAGATGTCTCTTAAGAATGAAAACATTCCCAACTGTTTGTTCATTTGGAGGTCATATTTGCCGATCTCCACAAAGCGGCCGCAATCGGCAACGCATTCATAACTGGCGTCCAGTTTATCGCCGGCCAAAGAGTTGAGAACCATATCGACTCCCTTTCCTTTCGTAATCTCTTTGATTTTGTACTTAAACTGAGTGTTTCTCGAACTGAATATTCTGTTCTCCGGAATATTATAGGTATTCATCAAAAACTTTTTCTTATCTTCGGTTCCAATCGTCACATAAATATCGCATTCATAGAACTGACAAATACTGATCGCCGCCTGACCCACACCTCCCGCTCCGGAATGAATCAAAATTGATTCGCCTTTAAAATTAATATTTAATTAAAATTATTTGAAAATTTAACAGTAAAAACAGTTGATAAAAATCTAACCTTTTTGCATGTGTGCCCTCTCTATGAGACCATACCATACAGTACTGTAAGTACTTAATACAGACACCGCCTCATTCATCGACCAGTTGTCGGGCACTTTAGAAATAAAGTCTTCGTTGGCGTCAATAGAAGTGGCATAACATCGACTCATATCGAAACCGCAAACCCTCTCTCCAGTGTCGGCCCGACGGCCGGCGAACTCAAAACCAATGCAGCAATCAGTGAATAGCATTTGTGGTCCCGAAGCAATTCGGCCTATAATTTAACATTAGGTTAATTGTAATTTAAAATTGAAACATTAATCAAAAGTTGTATTCAAATGGCAAACCTGTAGCAAACATGACATCTCTGAAGTTCATTCCAGAGCTATATATATTACACGCAATTTTGTTGGTCTTTGTATTCATGAAATCGTAATCGTCTTTATTTGTGACCAAACCCTTCGAGTCATACCATTGAAGAGATGCTAAGTCTCTGTTATGGCCGACATTCAAGAAGTAGTCGTTTGACTCTATTTTGTCGTATTCTTTATTGAGAGTGAAGTGTCTATAAGTACCGACTTTTCCGTTCTTCAGCACATTTATGGGCAAATCGTTGGACAAAATGTCTGAATACGGCTTTTCAGTGAACTTCACGGAACCTTTGATGAGGTTATCGTAATCGAAGACACATCTCAGACACTCTCCTCCCGGCTCTAAACGCAGACAATTAATGAGACCAATGATACCATTCTTGGAGGAGTCGTTTGCTATCAACCAAAGAGTCTCATCGTTTGACTCTTTGTCCTTATGTTCTGTTATTTTTTGCTTCAATGTTTCGAACCATTTCTCGGGATTACTCGCGATTTCAACGATATTATCACTTTTCGGTACTTTAGGCTCAGAGAATAATTTTCTAAAAAGCAAAGCCATGGATCCGATGGAATCCAATTTCTTTCCGATAACATTAAAGCCCACACTTTGAGCGGCTTTTATAAAATCCAGGATTCGTTTCTCTAAGTCCGCGTTCTTCAGAGCTTTTTTGCCGTTCATTTGATTCAATGCGAGCTCTGGTTCTGTCAATTGGTATCTGAAAACTGATATCAAAAATCCTTTGTCTGAAATGACATCAAAAATATCCTGTAATTGAGAGGTCATATCGATTTCCCACAAATGATGCGAATCTTTAAGTAGAATCAAATTAGAGGAAGTGATCTCATTTGGAAAGACACTATTCTGTGGATTCCATTCAATCAGTTTAAACGATTGATTTTTATAATTATCATTCAAAGTACTAATAGATTTGACAGCAATAGTGTAGTTGACTTCAATCGGATAGATATGAGATGAGGCCAATTGTGTGTCCACTTCTTTAGCCATCAATCCATTTGTCAAATTCAGTTCCAATACTTTAATCTCTTTCTTAGGGATAAAACATTCGCTCACAATATCGACCAGAGATCGGATCAAATGCTCATTCTTTGAGACTTCGTTGATATAATCGAGAGATAAGTCATATTCGGGATTGTTTTGCAAATTAGTGATCACTTTATTGGTGTCAATATTCTGGTTCTCATCAATACATCCCTTATAGACTTCGTTCAAGATTTTTAGTAGAATTTGATTGTCTTTCATATCATTTAAGTATTTATTAACCAAATCATCGCTAATATTATTCACTTTTTTGTCTTTAGTCTCAATTAATTGTTTAATTTTATCGGAAAGAGATGAACACACCTTCAAAGTAAACAAATAATTTATTTATTATATATTTTAAAAATAAATTCAATTCAAACCTTCAGATATTCTTTCACTGATTTCTTATCGCACTCTTCAATAGCGATATTCTCTTCATTGGCAACGAATTGATACGATTCTAGTTTCAAGTCTTGCATATTTGACTTGCGAGGAATGGGAAGTGCCATCAGGTCTTCAATCTCAATACCATGTGTAACAATCATTCGTGAATTCATGTCCACATAATACGGCAAAACAGACGGATAGACGTGAAACTCTTTGCCGAACAGCTCTTCGATATATTCAACACTATTAGTGGCCAAAATGCCCTCCACTTCCTGTTCGTCCACAGTTTTGTTGCCACTGCTTAGCAAAACCTCATCGATCTTGTCGTCGTCCACCTCTTCTTCGCGTATCCTTTGTTCAGACATTTTCCGGGCGGCTATTCCTTCGTACATAACCTTTGGGTCGCAGCGAAGACTCTTAATCATCACCGGAACCATCATTTTCCTGAAGGGCATCGCAGCGGCCATTGTCTGCAGCAATGAGTCCATAAAAGTGATCCAATTTCCATCCCAACTGATCTCTCCCTGAATTGTCTCAAAATTGTTTGTCTTCACCGAACGAATGCGTCTAAACTTCGGTCCGTAATCATAGCCCAAGACTTTGAGGTCTTTGTAGAGATCATTTGTGGTCAGATTCACTTCAAACTCTTTATCCATATTGGCTTCGGTGTCGACCAAAACATTTTGCAAACTCAGAGCGTATTCATCGGTTGTGCGGACTCTTCCCACACACGCAACGTTACCGCTCTCTAAGATTGTAAACTCGCCTGAAATATAATTAAAAACAAAATTCTATTTATTAGTTACTGTACTAACAATAAACACATTTCATAAATAAGTAATTGTTATAATTTATAAAGGTTTAGAATCAGAATTAGAATTATTTTTCATAAAAATACCTGAAGTTTCATGATATCTGACTTTAATTCTAGTCATATCGGTGTCCGACAAGAATATGGGTCTCCGGAACTGGACGTCCTCGAAGATGGCCGGCAATTGGTTCCATAGCTTTCCGTATTGACAAGACATTCGTCTCCAGGCGAGCAACAGATAACCGGTGGCCGGATATAAGACATTGCCGTCAATGCAATGCTCGGGAAGAAACGCTTTAATACTTTGCGACGGATTATAGACTTCATTCATGTCAGAAGCGTATGATCTGAAGTGATAGTCGGGATATTTACGGACATTATTAGTAAAATCGTGATCCCATTTCAATAGGGAACTAATGGATTGAGTACTTCTGGCGACCGGCCATTCGACCCGAGGGTATAGGTTCTCAATTAGAGGATTGAGTCCTAATTCATACAACTTTGCGATCGATTGTAAAAACATCTCAAGATTTGTATCGTTTGAGTCCTTTTTAATGAGCGACACATAAGTACCAGATTCTAGTGTTTCCTTCACTACTTTGCCGAACAGCCCGTGCGGTCCGATCTCAAGGATGAGGGCATCCGATGGCAAGTGTTTGAATTTGTTGTAGAAATGGACGGGAGATACGAGATTATGGACGAAATACTCGGCCGATGCGGTCTTTAACGCGATATCGCCCTCACTATCGATAACAGCGGTTGAAATGAATTTCTTTGAGCGTAGTTTAGGATTGGGAACCACTTGTTTCAGTTCGTCCGTCAGTTTCTTTGCCGATGTCATGAGATATTCGCTATGATATGGGATGTCATGGCTCTGGAGTTCGCGAACAAATACTCCTTTCTTATTCAAATCTTCAACCATTTGCTTGACTTCATTGTATAGTCCTTTTCATGCGATCAATAATTAATATAAAAATATTTCATGATATTTAGTAAATATAATTACCTGAGACGACGACTGTGTCCTTTCCGTTATTACAGACAGGACTCACTCCTTTCGGACACAACTTCTTGGCCTCATTCCAAGACAGACCCGCGACAGCCATCAGTCCTTTCGGTATCTTTTTGTCACTTTCGGTCACAAGTCCTCTATAATAGGTAACTAACATCGCTTCTCGTGTGTCAAGACATCCGTCGGCATAAGCGGCGGCTATTTCACCGAAAGAGTGGCCAATAATACCGTCGGGAGTAATACCGAGAGCGAGGATAACATCACATAATGCTATCTCTATAGCAGTTGTGGCACAGAATTTATTTGTCATATTAGACATTGAATTCTTGTCATCAGATAATAAGAGATGTTTTAAGTCTATGCCGTGGGGTTTGAGTACTTCATGGCATTCATCGATCTTATCGGCGAATATCTTGATTGGCATCAAAGCCTTAGCCATTCCAACCCATTGTCCGCCCAAACCGGGGAACAGGAAATATAGTGGCCTTTGAGTCTTAAGTGTAAACACTGCCGACTGTTTCTTATACTCGTATTGATTATTAGCCAATTGTTTTATAATCATAGAGCCTTAAATTGATAACAAAAATTATATTAATATAAAAATTAATGTACAGTATACATCGTGAACAACATAACTCTCTAACAGTACATAGTGTATTATAAAAGTCCAAATGTACTGCACTGTACAGTCTATACCTCTATGTGGAAATCCACTTGAATTAAGCGATGGCTCGACGCGCATAGTTTCGGCCATTAAGGCCAGAAAATCTCGAGTAATCTTCTGTGGATTATTCTCAATGAAATTGAATACATTATTCAACGCTTCCTCAGTTCGACAACAGATGTTAACAATCCTGGGTATAGTGTCGGCGATCTTAAGGCTATTCTCATCGCAAACCTTATAATTAGGTTCGAGAAGACAATTGGCGTTCACTCCTCCGACACCAAAGTTGTTCACTCCAGCGATGCCTTCACACAAATTCATTCATTCATTACAATTATAAAAAGCAAATATTTCTGCAATAAAAGCATCACTAAATGCATACCCGGAATATATTTAGTATTAGTGACAATTGGGTTGAGTGGTGGACAGAATTCTTTGATATTAGCCTTAATATTATTCAAATGCAAATTAGATGCAATGCATTCGTTCTCAAATGATATCAACACTTTAGTGACCGACGATAGACCGGAGGCGCCCTCCGCGTGACCGATGTTACTCTTAAGGAGGCCTACATTTAGAGTACCGTTTCGTTTAGGTTTTCCACAATAGGCGTTGTATATGGCCTTCGCTTCCTGAGGATCGCCGACCTGTCATTCAATCAACAATTAATTAGCCATTTATTGATTACTGAATAGCGTTTTCATCCATACCTTAGTTCCGGTCGCGTGGGCTTCAAAATAGTTCACTTTCAACGGATCCACGTCTGCCTCTTCGTACACTTTAATCATCAAATCTTCCTGACTCTCAGCCGAGGGGTAAAACATTCCCATTCTTTTGTTTCCGTCGATATTCACTCCGGAGTTCAAAACAGTGGCGTAAATACGTTTGGCCTCCGATTTGCGTTGCAAAAGAAAACAGCAAACAGTCTCTCCTCTAACGAATCCATCGGCCTTTTCGTCCCATACTTTGGGAATGCCGTCGAATGCGTTCAGACGAGTCGATTGGAAGATCTGATTAGAGAACGGCTGAAGACATATCTGAGTGCCGCCGACAATCGCTTGACGACACTTTCCTGTCATTTAAATTAAATTGATTTTATTTTATTTTTATATATAAATTATAAATATGTGAACACAAACCCAATCGCATATCATTGACGGCAGCATTGAGTGCAACCAAACTGGAAGAGCAGGCGGTGTCGATGATCATCGACGGGCCGTGAAAATCAAACACAAACGACACCCGATTAGCGTACAGACACTTCTGAGAACCGGGTAACCACAATAGCGTTTCAGTCATGTTGTTCTGAGAGTCCGGCTGTACGTCTTCGGGGGTGCCGTCAGGCATACCAAACGTCGAGAACCCGATATACACTCCCGTATCTGAACCCCGAAGTGTTTGAGGATTTATTCCTATATTTTATAAATTATATAAATGTATTAACAGTATAAAAGTTATATAACATGTATTTATAACAAATGTCATACCGGCGTCTATTATAGCTTCATAAGTGGTCTCCAAAGCCATTCTCGATTGCGGGTCAATAACATCAGACATTGTATTCATTATACCGAAGAAAAGTCCATCAAATTTATCAATATTTTTCAATTTTCCCATTCGAGGGTTCATTCCAAACAAATCTATTCATTGTATATATATTTATTAAAAGTGGTTAATTAATCAAATTATTTTAAATAATTAATTATCAGTATTAAATTCAATAAGTGTAAGGTAAATATCGACTAGTCATTTAAGTTTCTAAAGTCATTCAAATAACTAAAAACATTAGCAAACTTCTAAATTTATTAATCTATAAAAATTTGTTCTAGTATTTATAGACTAAAACATTATGCAATTTATTTATAATTTATATAAACATTAAAACTATTTACTGTAAGATTTATATTAAAATATTAATAAAAATAATGTACAGACCTGTAGGCCAGCGACGATTATCTTCGGTAATCATATCGATTCCGTTATACAGATTGTGTGCGAACTCGTCGGTGGAGTCGGCCTCCGGATACCGACCACCCATTCCACTGATCACTATGTCTTCAGTCAAAACCTGCGACAAAAGCTTTTTCGTAGACATTGTTATAGCAAACCGTTAGCTAAACTCAAACCAAAAGATTTATTATTGTAAACAAAAATCAAAGGAAGACTCAAAGGATTAGAAGAACTGTTAGCTAACAGTGCGTCCGGTCGTCATATTTATAGGTTTTCTCGGAGACAATGAATTTTATGAAAAATATATTTTTTAATGATAAATGAAATCAAAATAATTAATCTTAAAAATTAATATATTATTTGACAGAAATAAAAACAAGTAAACGAGTGACCAATTAAAACATCATTTGGCGAGGATTTCCCACAGAAAAAATGCAATAAAAAATAACTCGTAATTGTGCGGTAATAATGAGCAATCTTTATATAACTTTCCAATAGATTCTCATTCTTTATCATATATTAATTTTACTATTATTTTCGTGCCTTTAATTCTGATTTGTTTGTATTTGAGGGCAAAAAATGATTCCTTTCCCCACATTTCACATATAATAATGCATTTTATTTTCTTAAATACAATTTCTATTGATTTTAAAATATATTATTTATTAGAAAAACAATAGTGAAGTGACAGGAAAAAGCATTTCTCTTACGTTAATGATTGTCGTAATACCGATAAGCAAATTAAAATTAACCACAATTAAAATGTTTATGTTTTGTTTGTTTGTCTATTACTTACGTACACAGTGTCTGGTGGCGAAACTGTTTGCCTATAATTTCAAAACACTATTCAAAAGTTTTCAACAATATTGCAATTAATTAATAATATTGTAGTTAAGAATTTAAATTATGACCATTTATTTCCTCATTATATATGCATTTATTGGAAAAAATTATATTTATCACGGCAGATTTACCACAACCTTCACTTATCACGCCTTAACCATGTTATACAATAGTTGAGAATAAATACAATTAACAACACATTAACACATTTTGTTTACAATTATTTTTCCACTCGTAAACTAATAAAAAAATTCTGATGTCAATCATAATAATTAGTGATCGAAATACGTGTTCAGTTCGTCCTCTTTTGTTTTTATCTTCTTTCCTCGTCTTCTTCTCCAGAAATTCAAAACAATTGTTTTTATGTATAAATTGTTTACATTTAATGTCTATTACCATATTTACCGCTCATGTCATCAATAAGTAAGTATTTCAAATTAAACTTCATAAACTAATGTCCAATGTTTACCCACAATTATACATCATTTTACCATTAGTCGTACGACAGACTTGTACATTATACATAAAATGCTAATTTTCAATAACATTTTTAAAAAGTGTGAAAAAAGTAACACTACATGTAAAGAATTTAGTTTATACAATTTTTATTAAGAAGTCAGCAATTATAATTTTACTTCAAATATGCAATGAATTTAAAACTATTCTTCAATTCAACCTTAATAAAACATATTAGTGCGGTTCACAAATCACAATACGTTTTGTGCTAACAAAATGGCCATGCTCAAACTAGAAATCAACTTATAATTAGTAAAATACATTTATTGTAATTTAAATACAATAGTTTATGATAAAAGTATTGATGATATTTTCAAAAAATTCGGTTCTTTTAGGGATTGATTAAAGAACCACATTATGAAAGCAATACATCAATACGTTATAACTTTTTGTCTGTCAAGGTATTTAATTTTATTAGTTGTTTGAAAGTTAAATTTTTTGTACAGAAATATTTAGTTTACTCCAAATGTAGTTCAGATTACACTATAACTAGTTATACTGTATTTTACATAAATTAAGGTAATACTGTACTATAAGGTATATAATAACAGAAATCACTTATAAACCGGTATTTGTTGACACAAATAAAAAAATATAATAAAGTATATTTTAAATGAATTTATCAATGAATTAATGTGACAATCATTTTGAATGCAAAACTCATTATTATAATAATTAATTAATATTAAGTTATTATCACATTTAAATAATGCATATCTAATGTTAAATACAATATTCATTGCAATAGCAATAGTTTTATGCAATAATACATATAATTTTCTGTGAAAATGATAATACCCTTGGTCTCTATTTTATAACAATTGCATTATTATTACGCTATATTTACACAATTTTGCCTATAATTAATGATAACATTTACATTGTTTTAATTAAATGCAATGCGTTATGTAATGAACCATTATATTAATTATGTATTTAAATCAATATTGTAATCAATTGTATAATTAATTCTTTATAATACATGTAATGTTTGTAATCATAAATCCCATTACATTTGGTATGCAATGAATTAATTAATTATTATTAAATCTACTTATATTGGAAAATGCATTACAATATCATAACTTTTTAATTAATTATATGATTTGTTATATAATTTATATGACTATATTTCTAATAGTAATTCATTAATAAAAATGTAATTGTAAATATATTTTACCTAGATTAAATTAAGTTTACAATCTGAGTTACATTGACAATGTTTGGGATAAGGCTTATAATTTAATATATGAGTTAACTAAATGGTAAAAATGAAGTAATAAAGTGGTCAAATCCAATGGAAAGAACCTTCTTATGGTTGGGCTGTGTCAGGGCTATGGCCATGATTTAATAGGAATCAAATACCGTCTGTATATCGCAGAGTATGTTGTTTTACATGTATAAATGAAACACTCATACAGTACTAACTTATGTACTAAATACAAATATCAATAAGTATTAGTTAATAACTGTGAATGAAAATACTATTTTAGTACATTATAATACAACTATTTTGTGATCTATTATTGCAATTAAAGAATTTCAAAAAACATTATTTTTGTGTTTCAAAAATAAAATGCAATTCCATATGAATTGAAGAATGATTTAATGGACATCTAATTGATTGGTTTGGAAGTGAATTCAACATTACTTTTGCTATACTATTGTGATGTCTAGTGATGTGGGAAAGAGGTATTAATATTCATTTGATTATTACTGTTATATAATTTTTAATGAAAACCACTTTTAATTTGTACACAAATTTTAGCTGTAAAAAAGCAATTTAAAAACTAAAAGCATTACTAAATTCACTTATATTTTCTATAATTTTTCAATTGAATAAATAAAAGCATGACTTTTTTTTAACATAAAAGTTTTTATTTAATTAACAGTTCATAAGATATATAATGATTATATGATTAATACAGTTCTTCACTAATAATTTATACACAAGTCTTAACACAAATAATAGATATATTGATAATTAAAAAAATAGTCTTAACATAAAATATGGGATCAGATTATGGGTTATAATAATGTCTTAGCGGTCACTGACCAGCAGGTGATAGTCGACCCACTTATCTCTTTCCGAGATATTTGTTGATAGTGTCGGCCATCCTTTCGATGGTCTTGTGTGCCTCCAAGTCCTGTGTATTGGCCGACTCGACGGTCTCGAAGTTGAGCTTTCCCTCCAAACCCTGCCATTCATTAAATAGACAACAAATATGATTAAAAAAGAGAAAAAAACAATAAAAATGTGAGTAAAATACCGCTTCGGGGAGAAAGTATGCGTTCTTGATCTTATCGGTGACTCTCTCAACGTTGGCCACGTCTTCCACCATTTGGAAGGGCTTAATGATCAGCACTTTGCCACTCATTCTCATATATTTCTCTCCAATAGTTAACTTCATTTTCTTGAACTTGGATTTCATGTTCAGCCGATAAGTGGTGAAGAGTTTGGCTCTTTTGTACGAATTCATGAGAATCTCATCCAAGTCTCGACTCACGAGACTTTTGCCGCAAAACTCTTTCAATTCGGTAGTGATTTGTTCGAGTTTTGTGGGAACGTCTGGTTTAGACATTGTGTCTCTTCTCATCTTCGCCTGGATTACTGTCGGCACGTCTTTCGTACAGAAAGACAGTATAATCTCAACCAAACTGTCGTCACTTATCATATCCTCGTCGAGAGTGACCTCAGACAACATGTCGATTATGATAGCCCTACCGACCGGAGCCTTCTTCAACATCTTCATCGCAATGAGCGCACCGTAAAAGTGGCCAAATATATCGTAGTCTCCCTTCGGCTCCAATGCTTTCAAGAGTTGTATATAATATTTGGTGATCTCTTTAAGTGAACCCAATTTCTGCATATCTCGGGTCCAATTGAGACCAATGACCGGCCGATCAATCTTTTCAGCCAATCCTTCCAATGATGTAAATATGCCCTCAAGTGGTGGAAAGAAATACAGGGGTTTTCCGGTCGTTACGTTATTAAGCCTAATGCAGGCATCACTCGGTATAATGAACTTCACTTTACATAACTTCGTGCGACACGACTTGATCTCATCCGCGAATCTCTTCATTTCATCTACTTTTCCGACTTCAAAGTCTTTCATCATTCCTATTGTGATATTCTTGATGTCATTCAATGTCACTCTAATGTCGTACTCCCTCTCCAATCCCTGTTGCAGTTCCACCGCAAACATAGACTCCATTCCTATCTCTCCCAGAGTTAAGTGATTGGGAGTAGTCTTGGGATCGATTCCCAGCGCAATCCAAACCTGGTTCACGAGCTTAGACTCCTTCGTTCCCGACATCACTGATCTCTTGGCCCTTACCTGAAGAGTAATTTTGTTTAACAATGATTTCAATATAAATGTAATCAAAGAGTTCATACCAAACACGAAACAACAGAATTGTCTGTTTGAAGCAATTTATCCAGAATTTCCAAACAAGAGTTGATTCTCTGTTTAACAACTGCTGCCAAAGAGGTGTTGATCTCTGAATCAGCCAATACTCCGACGTCACCGATAGGTCCCCATTGAATGGCCAAACCATGCAATCCGTCTCTTCGTCTGGACTCACAAATGCGTTCACAAACAGAGTTCGCGAAACCATAGTTTGATTGCCCGGCGTTTCCTTTACCACAAGCGACAGAAGAGAAGACAACAAAATAGTCCAAATCTATACTTAATTCGCGACTTATTTTATCCAAATTCTCAAACGCTTTAGTCTTTGAATCAATGGTTTCTTGGAATTTATCGATCGTTTGATTCTCAAGAAGACAGTCATTGAGAACGAGAGCCAAATGAAAGACTCCTCCGATTGGAGCCAAATTCTGGGCGTCGGCTAAAAGTTTCTTTGTTCCTTCACTTGTATTGCAATCGTGAGTCGAAACGACAACTTTAGTCGCAAACTGTTTCAGGTTTCCGCCCAAAGACGCCAAACGCTTCAAAATAAACTTTTGGTAATCAGTTTTGACGCCATATCTTGAGGTCAACACAAACTTTCGGGCGCCTAAAAACATCATCCAATGAATGAACTCCAGACCAAATCCACCCAAACCTCCGGTTATGATATAAGTCTTGTTTGGATTGAAATATGTCTTTCGAGTGACCACTAGTTTCTTAGTTGGGGTGAAACCACTCTTTGCATTCTTATTGCTTTCTTCTTCACGAGTTCTGATCACAATCTTTCCGATGTGTTTACCGGTTGTCATGAATCTAAAAGCCTTCTCCGCCTCTTCGGCTTTAAACACATTTTGATTGATTGGTTTAATCATTCCGTTGTCACAGTTTTTATGCATCCATTCAAAGAAGCGGATAACGAATCCTCTCTTCATATAAAGTTTCTGATCGACTGAAACACCGATGAAAGAGATATCTCTGAGGAATGAAAACATTCCCAACTGTTTGTTCATTTGGAGGTCAAATTTGCCGATCTCTACAAACCGACCGCAATCTGCAATACATTCATAACTGGCGTCGAGTTTATCGCCGGTAAGAGAGTTGAGAACCATATCGACTCCCTTTCCTTTCGTAATCTCTTTGATTTTGTACTTAAACTGAGTGTTTCTCGAACTGAATATTCTGTTATACATTCATAACTGGCGTCGAGTTTATCGCCGGTAAGAGAGTTGAGAACCATATCGACTCCCTTTCCTTTCGTAATCTCTTTGATTTTGTACTTAAACTGAGTGTTTCTCGAACTGAATATTCTGTTCTCCGGAATATTATAGGTATTCATCAAAAACTTTTTCTTATCTTCGGTTCCAATGGTTACAAAGATATCGCATTCATAGAACTGACAAATACTGATCGCCGCCTGACCCACACCTCCCGCTCCCGAATGGATCAAAATTGATTCGCCTTTAATAATAAATATAAAAATATTATTTTAGTTTTGACAAAAATAATTATAATTTAAGAAAATAACAAACCTTTTTGCATGTGTGCCCTCTCTATGAGACCATACCATACAGTACTGTAAGTACTCAATACAGACACCGCGTCGTCCATCGACCAGTTGTCGGGGATTCTGGAAATTAACTCATCGTTGGCGTCAATAGAAGTGGCATAACATCGACTCATATCAAAACCGCAAACTCGCTCTCCAGTGTCGGCCCGACGGCCGGCGAACTCAAAACCAATCAAACAATCAGTGAATAGCATTTGTGGTCCCGAAGCGATACGACCTATAATTTAACATTTGATTAATCATTTGATAATAAATTATTATTTTTTCATTATATACCAGTTGCAAACATAACATCTCTGAAGTTCATTCCAGCGCTATATATATTGCACGGAATTTTGTTGGTTTTGTTGTTTATCAAATCGTAATCGTCTTTACTTGTGACTAAATTCTTTGAATCATACCATTGAAGAGATGCTAAGTCTCTGTTATGGCCGACATTCAAGAAGTAGTCGTTTGACTCTTTTTTGTCGTAGTCTTTGTTGAGAGTGAAGTGTCTATAAGTACCGACTTTTCCGTTCTTCAGCACATTTATAGGCAAATCGTTGGACAAAATGTCTGAATACGGCTTTTCAGTGAACTTCACGGAACCTTTGATGAGGTTATCGTAATCGATGTGAAGTGTCTATAAGTACCGACTTTTCCGTTCTTCAGCACATTTATAGGCAAATCGTTGGACAAAATGTCTGAATACGGCTTTTCAGTGAACTTCACGGAACCTTTGATGAGGTTATCGTAATCGAAGACACATCGCAGACACTCTCCTCCCGGCTCTAAACGCAGACAATTAATGAGACCAATGATACCATTCTTAGAGGAGTCGTTTGCTATGAGCCAAAGACTTTCATCGGTTGACTCATTTTCTTTCTGTTCAACAATTTTTTCTTTTAATGTTTCGAACCATTTCTCGGGATTACTAGAGATTTGTATTATATTCTCTTTTTTCGGAAGTTTGGGCTCAGAAAACAGTTTCCTGAAGAGTATGGCCACCGAACCAATTGAATCCAATTTACGTGCGATAAGATTAAAGCCCACACTTTGAGCGGCTTTTACGAAATCGACGATTCGTTTCTCTAAGTCCGCGTTCTTCAGAGCTTTTTTGCCATTCATTTGATTCAATGCGAGCTCTGGTTCTGTCAATTGGTATCTGAAGACTGAAAGCAAAAATCCTTTGTCTGAAATCACATCAAACATGTCTTGCAATTGTGTGTCTAAATCAATATCCCATAAATCGTTTGAGTCTTTCAGAAGAATAAAATTAGAGGAATTGATTTCAGTTGGAAAGACACTATTCTCTGGATTCCATTCAATCAGTTTAAACGATTGGTTCTTATAATCATCACTGACTCCACCGACAGATTTGACAGCAATAGTATAGCTCACGTCAATCGGATAGATATGAGATGAGGCCAACTGTGTGTCCACTTCTCTAGCCATAAATCCTTTGGTCAAATTGAGTTCCAATACTTTGATCTCTTTTCGGGGAACAAAACATTCGCTCACAATATCGACCAGAGATCGGATCAAATGCTCATTCTTTGAGACTTCGTTGATATAATCGAGAGATAAGTCATATTCGGGATTGTTTTGCAAATCAGTGATCACTTTATTAGTATCGATATTCTGGTTCTCATCGAGGCTTCCCTTATAGACTTCGTTCATGATTTTGAGCAAAATATGATTGTCTTTCATATCAGTTATGTATTTGTTTACCAAATCATCGCTAATATTTGGGATCACTTTTTTGTCTTTTGATTCATTTAATTCTTTAATTTTGTCGCCGATTAGTGAACAGATCTGTTTATATGATTGTCTTTCATATCAGTTATGTATTTGTTTACCAAATCATCGCTAATATTTGGGATCACTTTTTTGTCTTTTGATTCATTTAATTCTTTAATTTTGTCGCCGATTAGTGAACAGATCTGTTGTGTGAAGACAAACACATTGTAAATATATATTTCATATCAAAGTATTTTTAATATCAATTCAAACCTTCAGATACTCTTTGACTGATTGTTTCTCACTTTCTTCAATAGCGATATTCTCTTCATTGGCAACGAATTGATACGATTCTAGTTTCAAGTCTTGCATATTTGACTTGCGAGCGATCGGGAAAGCCATCAGATCCTCGATCTCTACACCGTATGTGACAATCATTCGTGAATTCATGTCCACATAATACGGCAAAACAGACGGATAGACGTGAAACTCTTTGCCAAACAGCTCTTCCATATAATCAACACTATTGGTCGACAGAATGCCCTCCACTTCGGACTCGTCGAAAGTCTTTTCGCCACCGCTTTGATCGATATTATCGAGATTCTTGTCATCGATGACATTACCCAATATATCTCCGGCGCGTTCTTCCAGTTTGTGTGCAGCGATTCCCTCGTAGAGAGCCTTTGGATCGCACCGAAGGCTCCTAATCATCACCGGAACCATCATTTTCCTGAATGGCATTCCGGCGGCCATTGTCTGCAACAGTGAGTCCATGAAAGTGACCCAATTTCCATCCCAACTGATTCACTGATTTGCAAAACAATCCCGAATATGACTTATCTCTCGATTATATCAACGAAGTCTCAAAGAATGAGCATTTGATCCGATCTCTGGTCGATATTGTGAGCGAATGTTTTGTTCCCCGAAAAGAAATTAAAGTATTGGAACTCAATTTGACCAAAGGATTTATGGCTAGAGAAGTGGACACACAGTTGGCCTCATCTCATATCTATCCGATTGACGTGAGCTATACTATTGCTGTCAAATCTGTCGGTGGAGTGAGTGATGATTATAAGAACCAATCGTTTAAACTGATTGAATGGAATCCAGAGAATAGTGTCTTTCCGACTGAAATCAATTCCTCTAATTTTATTCTTCTGAAAGACTCAAACGATTTATGGGATATTGATTTAGACACACAATTGCAGGACATGTTTGATGTGATTTCGGACAAAGGATTTTTGCTTTCAGTCTTTAGATACCAATTGACAGAACCAGAGCTCGCATTGAATCAAATGAATGGCAAAAAAGCTCTGAAGAACGCGGACTTAGAGAAACGAATTGTCGATTTCGTAAAAGCCGCTCAAAGTGTGGGCTTTAATCTTATCGCACGTAAATTGGATTCAATTGGTTCGGTGGCCATACTCTTCAGGAAACTCTTTTCTGAGCCCAAACTTCCGAAAAAAGAGAATATAATACAAATCTCGAGTAATCCCGAGAAATGGTTCGAAACATTAAAAGAGAAAATTGTTGAACAGAAGGAAAATGAGTCAACCGATGAGAGTCTTTGGCTCATAGCAAACGACTCCTCCAAGAATGGTATCATTGGTCTCATTAATTGTTTGCGTTTAGAGCCGGGAGGAGAGTGTCTGAGATGTGTCTTCGATTACGATAACCTCATCAAAGGTTCCGTGAAGTTCACTGAAAAGCCGTATTCAGACATTTTGTCCAACGATTTGCCTATAAATGTGCTGAAGAACGGAAAAGTCGGTACTTATAGACACTTCACTCTAAACAAAGACTACGACAAAAAAGAGTCAAACGACTACTTCTTGAATGTCGGCCATAACAGAGACTTAGCATCTCTTCAATGGTATGACTCGAAGAATTTAGTCACAAGTAAAGACGATTACGATTTGATAAACAACAAAACCAACAAAATTCCGTGCAATATATATAGCGCTGGAATGAACTTCAGAGATGTCATGTTTGCAACTGGTATTTAATGAGAAAATAATATTTTATTATCAAATGATTAATCAAATGTTAAATTATAGGTCGAATCGCTTCGGGACCACAAATGCTATTCACTGATTGTTTGATTGGTTTTGAGTTCGCCGGCCGTCGGGCCGACACTGGAGAGCGAGTTTGCGGTTTCGATATGAGTCGATGTTATGCCACTTCTATTGACGCAAACGATGAGTTAATTTCCAGAATCCCCGACAACTGGTCGATGGACGACGCGGTGTCTGTATTGAGTACTTACAGTACTGTATGGTATGGTCTCATAGAGAGAGCACATATGCAAAAAGGTATGTTTATTAAAAATCCATTTTTGAAAATAAACTAAATTTGTTGAAACCAATCAAAAGGCGAATCAATTTTGATTCATTCTGGAGCGGGAGGTGTGGGTCAGGCGGCGATCAGTATTTGTCAGTTCTATGAATGCGATATTTATGTGACGATTGGAACCGAAGATAAGAAAAAGTTTTTGATGAATACCTATAATATTCCGGAGAACAGAATATTCAGTTCGAGAAACACTCAGTTTAAGTACAAAATCAAAGAGATTACGAAAGGAAAGGGAGTCGATATGGTTCTCAACTCTCTTACCGGCGATAAACTCGACGCCAGTTATGAATGTATCGCAGATTGCGGTCGGTTTGTAGAGATCGGCAAATTTGACCTCCAAATGAACAAACAGTTGGGAATGTTTTCATTCCTCAGAGATATCTCTTTCATCGGTGTTTCGGTCGATCAGAAACTTTATATGAAGAGAGGTTTCGTTATCCGCTTCTTTGAATGGATGCATAAAAACTGTGACAACGGAATGATTAAACCAATCAATCAAAATGTGTTTAAAGCCGAAGAGGCAGAGAAGGCGTTCAGATTCATGACAACCGGTAAACACATCGGAAAGATTGTGATCAGAACTCGTGAAGAAGAAAGCAATAAGAATGCAAAGAGTGGTTTCACTCCGACTAAGAAACTAGTGGTCACTCGAAAGACATATTTCAATCCAAACAAGACTTATATCATAACCGGAGGTTTGGGTGGATTTGGTTTGGAGTTCATTCATTGGATGATGTTTTTGGGCGCCCGAAAATTTGTGTTGACCTCAAGACATGGCGTAAAAACTGATTACCAAAAGTTTATTTTGAGACGTTTGGCGTCTTTGGGCGGAAACCTGAAGCAGTTCGCGACAAAAGTTGTCGTTTCGACTCACGATTGCAACACAAGTGACGGAACAAAGAAACTTTTAGCCGACGCTCAGAATTTGGCTCCAATCGGAGGGGTCTTTCATTTGGCTCTCGTTCTCAATGACTGTCTTCTTGAGAATCAAACGTACGATAAATTCCAGGAAACCATTGATTCAAAGACTAAAGCGTTTGAGAATTTGGATAAAATAAGTCGTGAATTGAGTATAGATTTGGACTATTTTGTAGTCTTTTCTTCTGTCGCTTGTGGTAAAGGAAACGCCGGGCAATCAAACTATGGTTTCGCGAACTCTGTTTGTGAACGCATTTGTGAGTCCAGACGAAGAGACGGATTGCATGGTTTGGCCATTCAATGGGGACCTATCGGTGACGTCGGAGTATTGGCTGATTCAGAGATCAACACCTCTTTGGCAGCAGTTGTTAAACAGAGAATCAACTCTTGTTTGGAAA